TTGAAGTTTAAATTTAGATGTATAACCTGCTCTTACTCGACCCATGTTTCACTCAGAACTAACCAGGCAAGTCAAGTAAAGGCGAAAAGGTTATAACTCTCCCCCGCAATGCCTTTGTTCTGAGTGGTACCGTTATTTTCGCTAGTTGCGAACTTAGGAATGTTAAACGTTGCCAAATTTCGGAATAATTTCTACTCCTGAAATAACATTCCAAGAAAATTATTTTTTCTATAATTTCTGTCTGAAAATTGTGCTGCGGCCTATACACGCACGCGGCCTATACAGGCGTAAATACGGTACTCATAGAAAAACCTGCTCCAGTGCCACTGTGTCCACCAAAAATCCCACACAGACTTAAAATTAACTCACTGCTTTGAAACAATGCTCTGAAAGCCACAAAACACAAAAAGAGAATTTGGATCAAGGGAAACCCTGTCATGCCAAATGAAATATTTATATTTTTGGTTTACTTGTGTTTAATGTTTCTATTATCTCCGACTATACAGAATCTTATGTTTGCATGATTAATGAATGAATATGAAAGGATGTGGAAGGAAGTGGTTGTGGCCTACCTGAAGTACTACCCTGGCCCTGCAGGACCAAGGAAAACCATCACAAAAAAAAATATCCTTGAGGATAGTTAGTGTCTTAGCAAAAATTCAAACCAGCCACCTCCCAAACAGAAACTGTACAGATATTTTGCTTTCTATGTCAGTGTTTTATAACTAGGCAATGAACAGATTTTGCCTGGAAAGTGCAACATCTTACCCTATAAGAATGGGAGTTGGTGCATACTGGCAAGAGGTGTATTGTTCATTAACTTAAACCTCTGACGGGTGCTGCATTTTGATTGAAACTTAACTGTCTGCAAAACATTCATATCATGGTATACAATTCAGTACAAATAGAAAATGCTGAACCCCCATCTTTAGGGTCTCTTGCATCAACAGAAGCCAGTGTCCTTTCCTACTGAAAAGCAATGTGTCCCCCCCCTACTTCCGATTTCAGACCTGCATATGAGGCCAAGGTAAAGAAGGACACAATGACAATCCTGAAGCTATGACAGACTGGCAGAAAGTAAGATAGTAAGTACACTGATTTTAGAATCACATTATCTGTTCCTAAACCCACCAGGAGCAGCTGACCTCTCCATGTTTCTTTGTGCACCCAGAATCTCTTTCCCGGTTCCTTGTTTTGGAACGCAACATATAATCAAGCTCTACTTCCAGCAATAAAATGCTGGCAGGAGGGGGGGCTGTCCACTCACTACAGCAATGGCACAAGCATTCAGTTATGTCTGTAGGGCCACTGTGTGTCACACAACACCATGCTGGTGAGTTTCCCATGCTCCAGGCAGCTACTTTACATGCCACCTTTCCACCTTACAATCCACAGTTCAGTACCAATCTCACCCCCCGTGACTAGCTCATTACTATGGGACTCCTATCAGCCACAGTTTACTCGGTAAAGCTAAAGTTCTCCTTGTGCTTAATTAAGCAGACCATGAAGACATGGGGGAAGTGCAAGTACAGCTCCAAACGTTCTGAACCTTGTCACAACACAGCGTTCAGCTGCCAACTTCCACTGACAAACCCCCAGGGAAGAGACAAAAATACCTGTTTCACAGGAAGCTTGTTGGGCCTCAGTACTGGTCTACACACTACAGAGAACAGATAAATCCTTGCACTTGCCGGATTCCCTGGTTGTCTAGCCTGTAGCCTTGTCACTACAGCCACTAAGATAGCCTGGCTCCAAGTCACTGAGTAACTGCACTAAATCTTTTGAATTACTTTTTCATGTGAAAGTAAAGCTCTGAACATAGGCTGCAAGGTGTGATGTATGTATAGTGTTTGGTTAGAATGCTTCTTTTCAGCAAAATTCTGATAAAAGTAACACATCCAGCAACCATCATGACATAAGAGTCTGTAAAAAAATGTATGTTTCTGTACAGAAATATAAGAGCCAGTGATGAGCAACGAGCATCCAATGGACTACACACTAATTCCAAAAATAAAAAAAAAATATATACATATTGTGACATGTTGACCCCTACCTCCCCAGCGGCACGTAGCATGAACGTAGCGCTCGCATAATAGGGGAGTAATCACCCTGCATCCTGGTAGCTATGCAACGCGCGGTGACGTCACGAGTGGAGCCGAAGTGAGCCGAGCGGAGCCGACGTTAGCCGAGTCCCCGCGACCTTGAAGCTATGCAAAGCGAATCAACAGCAGTGACGTCACCGAGGGATATCGCGGTTGCTAGGCAGCAGTCAACAACTCCGGACAGCGTGGCTAGCAACACAGCACCAGATGACAATTGTCCGATCGAGGCTACATGAGGAGCAGCGAAGGCTATTCACAGTCAGTCCTGGAGCTACCTCCGAGTCAGT